CTACTTACTATTTGTTTAGATCTTAGAGATGTGTGTATTTTTCTCATTAACTCCACTTGGGCTTTGAAAGACCATAATTAGCAACCTCAGACATCACAGCAACAGTCTTGAACCTCCAACACAATAAGCCCCGCCATCCAGAGACTTGGAATATTTGAAAATAAAGCCACTAGGCACAAGGGACAACTGCCCTGTTTAATTTCTTGCCTTGCCAGTATTTGTTGCTGTGAGTGTGCTACAAGAATACACAGTGCTCTCTTCCCTCCTGAGTGCTTCATTTTGTTCTTAGTGCTTGAATCTTCTCAAGAATAAAGACCCAAATAGTAAATGTCAGTTACCACTGTTTCCAACCCTGGATTTGATCACAGTTGTTATGGTCTGTGTTTGTTTGCTTTTTTGCTGGCTGTGGGACTATGTCACTATTTCTAGAGTTGTTATGTGAACAGGGAGTAGACATGCTGTGTGTAGACCTGAAGCTTCTTCCTCAATGTTTCTCCTTACCATGTTTATGTTGCATTACCTTAAGAAAGTAGGAAGTTGTTGTATTTGAAGGAATTATAAAAAGATGTCTAAGATAATTTCATTTCTTTATGTTGAAGAATTATTTGTTTGTTAATGTATAATAGAGATTTTCATTGCTCACATGTGACATGGTCCTGTTACAAATAAACCAATAGCAGATTTATTTTTGTTGTTATCATTTGTATGTTCCTCTGAGCTGACATTTAAACAATTCCTGCTTGTTCAGTTCCTGGTCTGTTAGAAAGGAAAATGTCATTTGTCATTTCCAAAGACCACTGAGGCCACTTCATGTCACTAGGACATATGGCATTAACATTCCCAAAGTGTCCTGTGAGCCTTGGAATTGAAGCAATAATTTTAATGTTAGTGCTAAATGATACATATTTAGGGTCAAATGATACTATTTTTTTCTTCAATACCCACAAAGTTTTAAGTGTTTGGAAGAGATAACTGAAGTCTTATTTCATAAACTTCAAATGGCAAATAGAATGGGTTCCTCAAGGTTGAGACTGGAAGTAGTTTGGTATGTGGCATGCTCAAGCCCTGGGTTCAGTCCCCAGTATCATACACAGACAAAATTTGAAATAAAATATGTGAAATATACTATCCTGTTTTTTAAAAAATATTTTTCCATTATGACATGTATTAAATGCATTTATACATAAACACATTCATACATATATACATAGAAATTTTGAAGAATAGGGAAATCTAGAAAACAACTGTGAAATGGTTTTCAATTACAGAAATCAGTTGATAACTTTTTTCTGTGCATATATGATTTCTATGTGGAATATTTACACTCCTGAGTGTTAAAATACCCAGTAAGTGATACCTTCACTATTATTAGTTAATTGGCTAATCTAAGATGTAAAAAATTGTTTCTCATAATCTTGGCTCAATTCTCTTGTGTGGGATGCTATGTGAGTGGCAAGACAAATCAGAGTGTTGCATGGGAATAAGAAACAACTTATGGAGCTATACCTTGTGTCCTCAAGTAAATGCCACACCAATGCATTCTGTTGGATCCTGGTCTGGGGCTAGTTGGGTCCTGAGAACAGGAAGCTCAGAATGGGCAAAGCCATAGGATCTTCAGGGTACCCATGAAGAGGAGGGTCAGACTTTTGGTTCACAGGAGTCCCTGTGTGGTCCTGTCTTTAGGAAGGGTGCGTGATTATTAATGCTGGGAAGGAGACTTGCTGTCTTTCTGGATGACATCATGTCACACTTCTTTGATTCCTAACAAGGTTGCTTATTTATTTTCATAAATTCCTTGGTTTTGATTTATTTCCCTTTATGTTAGAATGTTAGGTAGGATCTTATAGTAAGTTTTAGGTAATTTCCTTGTTTTATTTCAAATACATTCTATACTATGCATTGTTCCTTTAGTGACAAATGTTATCACAAAATTATTTTTGTAAAAGAGAAATCTCTGAGATGGCATTCCCCCTTATTATTAAACAGTGGTGATTGCAAGTCTCATATGTTAATTTACTTCCCTATTTAATCTCTTCAAAGGCATGGACTAGTGGGAATTGCTTCCCACCTTTCCCTGTTTCCTGCTCTCTGAATTTGCTTCTGTGTGGTGTGAGTACCACCTGTGTAACAGTGAGCTAGGCCTGTGAGGCTGCTGTGACTCACTACTTTCTCAGGGCAGGAAGCACAGACACAGAGCTGAGGATTGACAGGCCGTCTGCCCGACTGCTGGTTTCAGGGGAGTGGATTTATAAGAAAAGGAATACAGGAAGTTGGGGGTCACGTAAGCTGGAGTATCCCTCATAGCTGGCAGCTGGACAGGGTAGCAGAGCAGGGGCAGGGAGTTACCATTCCCATGAAATGGCTGTGACTCTGCTTCATTAGCATTGTGGTGATTTAAACTGAGGTTGAGGGGGCAGCTTGATATTTTACAGTCTCAGTTGCTCTCTGAACTTGGATATCAGCAGTTCCCCAGCCCCACCAGTTAATCGGTCTCTGAAAAGAACTGTCCCCCTAGCTCCCTACCCCTGTCCCAAATGTGTCACAGGTATTAGTGAGGACAAGTTCTTCCAAACTATTAGCTGTCTTCTTTGTCTAGAGGTGATCATTTTCTTTAATTGTATTTTGTATTCTTCATTTTAGGATCCATTGTAATATTCTTTTTTGTTAGTATATATATAAAACCTATACCTCTAGTTTGTGACCATCTTCTTTTCAGATGTCTTCTTGGTTCATTAACAAAAATAAGTAGAGCAGAACTTTGTGAATAGAGACACAGCTATTTTTTTTTTTTTTTTGCCTTTTTTTGGTAAAGAGTCCTGAAAATGTATACCTTTGCCTTTGACCCTGACCAAAATTTGGGCATGCTGCTGTATTTACTACTTAGGAGAATTAGAAAGCCCAGCATACTATATTCTAGACATGGTTTTTAAAATATGTATTAGTCTTCAGGAGACTTATAGTCTTAGGCAATGACTAAAACCTTTTATATTTTCTCTGTTCTCCCCTTTTAGTTAAAGTGATTCCCAGGTGGCTTATTTAAAAGAATCCGTCATGTAGCCATAGGAGACAAGTCCATATCTAGTTCAGTATGTACAAGCCTGCCATGATGGGCATGGCTTCCAGCAAAGTATGTTTGAATGGTCAAGGTCAGAGGCATTTCCAGGTATTGGGAGGCTGTGTTTTAACAGGAAGGAGGTGTTGGTTGGCATGTCTACACTGTGAATTTGACAATTAGGCTGAATGACTTGAAATAAATTCAAATTACTCAGAGATGTTTGCCAGATAATATGTTTTTATAATTTGTGTTATTGTGTGGATATGGACTTGAAGCTTTCTAAACACTGAAGAAGAATGGTAAGGTTTAAAAAATAGAAATGAAGTGATTAAAGCTTTTTCTTTTTGCTTTTAGTGCTGTAGGCAGCCTGGAAGGCATACTTGACTAAAGAGTAGAACGTCATTATCTTTCCTATTTATAAGTGTTGAATGATCTCCGAAGGAAACACATAGCAAACTATGTAATGGTCCATTTTCAGTTTTGGTCTGTGTTTGTACATCCTGTTAATATTTTGAATGAGGTTTTGAATAGCTCAAAAGAATCTCGGGCTGTTAAGGTCAAGAGTTTGCCATGCAGGACTCTGTGTTCTTCTGAGCAGATCACTTTTATATCACCATGCCTACTTCATTGTATGATGCTGAGACATTTGCTCTTTCTCTGTGAGTGTCTGCTTAGCCTTATCTCCTGTCAATAAGGAATGCCTTGATCCTTCCCCACTGTCATCTACTTCCTATAAATCAGTCTACTCAATAGAGCAAAGTACCATTGTCCTTGCTGGGGTATATGTGGGAAATCAGTTCCAAGAGATGGCATGGATCCCAAAACTTGCAGCGCTCAATACTTTTTATTAATCTATACACATCATCTATGGCTTGCTTAGGGATGCCTATAACATAAGTACTGTGTAAATAGATATATTCTCTTATTTAGACAATAATAGACAAGGAAACATATCAGTTCAGTACAAATGTTTTGTTTTCTAAGTGATTTTAATCTGCAGTTGGTTGAATCTATGAATGTTGAAACCATGGATACCGAGGGCATTGGCTTCCTTTTAGTGAATGAATTCTTTGACATTTGTTTGCTTGTTTTCTTTAGGAAGGGCTATGCTTAGGTTGCCTTTAAAGGAATGTAGTGCAGTGTGATGGCGCTACAGTGGATCTGCAGATCCCTGGAGACCCTTCAGAAATCTGTGGCATCAGACTATGTTCAGGACCATTGAAGATGCCACTGTCTCCCTTTAGTGTGCAGGTGTTTCACTTACTCTGCAGGAGCATTGGTGAGCACCATTGATGCCTTAGCGTTAGTCAGGGAAGGCCATGGCTATCAACTATACAGGCCATCGGGTCGCCACTGTCGTCCTCATTGCTACAAGGTCTCGGTTTGACAAAGGACTTGGCTTGCTTTTGTCCCTGTCTAGACTAGTGGCTGATACGTCACAGGAGAGTACACATTCAGCACATACTGTGGAGAGAATGAATGATCTTATGAGCTCTAACTCCTCTCCCTTCTTTTCCCCCTTGTATCTTCTCCATTCTTATCCTTTCCCAGATCATTCCGTACTATTATGTTTATATTTCTGTGAAATTCTGTTGTTTGCAGAGCATTTATTTACATCTGGTGTTACAGATGCAGGTGGTCTGTGGATGTGGAATTAAATACTTTTGCATAGAATGCTGAATTGAGGTGTTGTTTGTTAAAAACAAAGAATATAAAAGAGTAAGAACTGAATACAGTGTTTTTTTTTTTTTTTTTTTTTTTTTTCAGCTGATTTCAGTCTCTCACTTTAGCACTACCTGTTTTGTGGCCCTGGCTGAGCACACTGCCCATGAGGAATAGCCTTGCTTGCAGGCTTTTATTGTTCCCTTCCTCTGCTTTGATGTGCAGTTGTGATGAGGGATTTGTATGAAATTGTTCTCACTGGTCCTTGTCTTTGACTCTGCAGAACCTTGCCTCCTGGAACCCTTCAAACCCTGAGTGCCTCCTGCTTGTGGTGAAGGAGCTGGTGCAGCAGTACCACCAGTTCCAATGCAGCCGCCTCCGCGAGAGCTCTCGCCTCATGTTCGAATACCAGACGCTCCTGGAAGAACCTCAGTATGGAGAGAACATGGAAATTTATGCTGGGAAGAAAAACAACTGGGTGAGTGCTTAGAGATGGGGGCATTACTTTGTGATGAAATTAGGGACAAGAACATTCCTCAGGTACAGATGGCTTAAGTCATTCCTCAGATACAGATGGCTTAGGTCACCTGTGTGCTTTCTCATCATGAGACTTAGTGGTTATCAGGGCTATTATCTGTAGAGAGTGTCACAGGGGAAGTGTGCACAATTTGGTTTCACCCCCACTCTCCTGAGTTCAGAAGGCAGGAAGAGAGCCTGTGCTCTACACCCCCATGCTGGTGCTGATGTGGGTGGCTGGCTGGCAGGCCACAGTTGAAGACACTGACAAATTCCACCTTCTACTGAAGAGTGACCTCACTGCCCCAATCAGATAAGAGGGGTCAACTGCTCTGGATGCAGCTGGTTACATAGAGCCTTTGTGTGCACCTTCCCCACCCCTTTTCATAAAGACAAGGTCTCATTGTACAGCACAGAGTGGCCTCGAACTCACTGCACAGCCCAGGTCAGCTTCAGAGTCAGAGTCTTTCATCTCTCCTTCCTGAGTGCTGGCATCACAGGGGTGGCCACCATGTCCAATGCTAGCTGCTGCTTGGAATTTCTTTGCATTGTGCCATCATTTTGAGATTCAAAGCAGATTATAACCCTCATCTGCCCAGAAACTTCATATAACCGATCCCCCACACCCCCGCAAAAGTAAAAGCTGCAATCAATCTCCCCAGTGATAACATGAACTCTGGATTCTATAACGCCTCCTTCCTTCAGCATCCACTCACTTCCTCTTCTATTTTTCTTGCAATGGGCCCTAGTCATGCTACACCTCTGCACCTTGCAGGCATACCTAGCAAGCTACTCCCCTCGACACTTTGCATAAGTTTCTGCATCTGTTTTTTTTTGCCCCTGGGAATGGTGAACACCCTTCCTGCTTCAAATTCCTGCTAATGCATTTTCAATGATGTTCTGCCCCAATTTTTTAATTCAAATTTTTGAGATATGTTTTATAAAGTTTATACATTTTAATTGTATAATCCTATGATTATCAATCGTTTGGCTGATTTCCACAACCAGCATCATGATCTAGAATGGTCTGATACCCTCCAGTAAGGTTCTTCATGTTCAATTGCCGATAGTCTTTTCCCTACTGTAGCCTAGGGAATCTCTAAATTTCTTCCCGTTTCTGTAGATTTTCTTTCTGAACATTTCAGATGACCATGACACATCCCTAATGTTCTGTGACTGGGTGCTTTCACTTAGCAGAATGTATTTCAGATCTGTCTATGTTGTACATGTACCCGTACTTCATTTTTCACTATGGTTGAATAATATTCCATTGGACAGACACACCACGTCTTGTTTTTCTAGTCACTAAGTGATGAAATTTCTGTGTTTTTTTTTTTAACCTTTTGACTTGTATGAATTGTGCTGTTGTAAACATTCATATTAGGCCTTTATTATAGTTGTTCTTACAGTTCACTTCTGTTTCTATTCCCCAATATTAATCTGCTCTTTTCTTAAAGACATCTTTTTAGTAGATAATTTATATGTTAGTGTGTAAGATATTCACTCCAGCATTCAGTATCTGAGCATAATAATTTTTACTGTCATAGCTTTTGTTTGTTAGGCATCTGGACAGAGCTGCACCCCAGGGCCCCTTCTAGGCTGCACTGAAGTGTTGGCCAGTGCTTTAGTCTCCTCAGTACTCCACTGGAAAGATTTCATTGTAAGCCCATTTGTATGGCTGATGGGAAGGTGCTGTTCTCTGTGGGCTGCTGATCCCAGGGCAGCTAGCTGGTGCCTGGAAGTTGCCTCCCATTCTCTGCGTCTTCCTCTATAGGACCTTTCCACAGTGGGCCTCCTAGGCTGGTAGGGGCCTAGCCACAGCGAGCAAGCAGCAGAGATGGAGAGAATGTATAAGCAAGAAACGGGTCTTTTACAACCCTGTCTCTTGGATGATACATAGCACTTTTCTTATTGTCTGTTGGATCCAGCCTACACGGGGAGGAGCTCTAATACCTGTAAGTGTGGGCACCAGGATGGCTGTGTACCACTAGGAATCCTGCCATATTGCTCACTTGCTTGTCTTTTCCTGTTGGAATGTCAAGTTGCAGGGCAGGGATTGACATACCCTACACCGGGAACAGTGCTGTTGCGACATTGGTGTTCTACAAGCGTTTGTTCAATGGATGAGTGAGTAAACTCTAGTGACGCATAGAATGAGTTAGGTATTCTTCTCCTTCTGGTTTTATTAGATTCCACCAAGCCTTTCTTTTCTTAAGTTCAATATGATCTCCCTTGGAGTTTTTAACTTTTTATTAAGGGATGTGATTTCCAAAGTCATACAAATGAGCAATATGTTTTTAAAATTTTCAAACAAGTCTTCCTGTTTGAACATACTTAACAGTTCAAAGTTTTTTCTTTTACTGTTTTCATTTTCATATAAATGTGTGTGTGTATATATATATATATATATGTCCCGCGCAATAGTCTCGCCAGCAAGAACCACATATGACATTCGGATCCTTCTGCAGGAAAGCTTTAATGCGTCTTGAGAGGAGAGCATAAGCTTACCAGAGCGGAGACCCCGAGCCAAGAATCCCGTCCCCTAATAAAGGCTGGCAGCCGCCGCCTGGGACGTGTCACCCTATGATTGGCTGCAGCTCATCAGGCCATGACACCACGGAATAGGCAGAGATCAAGGAATGGAAAATTACCGAGCGCCTGCGCAATAATCTTGTTTACATTCAGTGCCTGCAGGCGCCATCATTGTAATGGAGAATGCAGGGACGGCTCCCTACATCTCCCCCTTTTTTTATTAATTAATGATAAGGCTTTATATTTTTACAAGCAAATAGGTCACCCATATGTTGAGGGATAGAGACAGAGGTTGTACCTTCCCAACCAAACATTAAGACTGTGTACAAGAGTCGCCATCAGGCTGTTAGCTTGACCCGAAGCGCTCTCGACCTGTCCTCTGCCGTTTTTCTGGGAAAGGGAGACTAGGGCAGGCA